TTCAACGAACCAAATCCCCCCATTTAAATCACTTCAGTATATAACTGTTAATTTCAATTTATAGTGTGCAATTGATTAAATCGAAACAATCCTCTGTGGGAAATGATCATTACTTGCCATGTTACTATTTAAGATGACACATTTAAGTTAAGTAATTTCCACTATAGACAACAAAGGATTTGATGATACCATAAAACAGTAAATAACACAAGATTTGATGATGGAGGAAACTCTTGACTGGGTAAAAATTTCGAGACCAAGTCAGTAATTTCCACTATAGACAACAAAAACTTACAGTATGATCTAGTTTTGAAAACCCACTAGACTCGCCGATTTAATTCCTTCAATCTCCAAGACACACTGGAACGTGCTTCACTCACACCTTGACTCGCTGATCTAATTCCTGCAATCTCCAAGACCCGCTGGAACATGTGTCACTCACACCTGCTCCCGATCTTCTGGAATTGTCCATATCATATGGAACACCAAGAACACTTGTTCTTGTACTCTTCCTGTGCTCTGGTCCAACATCCCTCAATCTTTGGCAACCTCATAAAACTATTAAGAAAGTACATTTCTCATGATATCTAGGAAGTTGATGTTTTGGATTATATGAATTTGAAGTTTTGCCCAAACTTCTTGTTGATTGATCTCAAGAATCAAAATGTTAATCTAAATATTTGAACGTGTTCTTAGATCTTGGAATAATGATATAAGGATGTAAAACAATGATCAACCACACATAAAAACGTATTGGGCAATGCATATTTATAATATAAGGTGTTTAGGTAGTATATGATAGATGAAACTCTTGAAAAATGCAAACTAGGATTTCTCGAAAAATACCATCCCTCGAGTGCCAAACTAGCGGCACGAGAGCGAGAGGTGCGTCGCTCAAGCAAGAGACGAGCGACAGACGATTCTGCTTTGGTCACTCCAGCATCAACTTGGCAACGACTAGCGTAAATCTGACGACTCTTTCTTCTTGTTCCATGCTCGAACCCAAAAACTTCTAATTCATCTATATAACCCTTCAAAAGACGCATTGACTTTTACAACTCTTTTGTAACAATCATATTCTTTTACAATAATCATTTTATCTAAAAAATTGTCAATACAACTAAAAGCTTAGCACATACCATTAAATCTAGATTTTTATTCAAACTTACTCATTTCTTTTTCTTCTAATAATAATTTTCTCAAATTTTGACGAAATTTTCAATTAATTATTTACATTTTAACATAGTTTCTAGATTTCATTATTAATTCCTATAATGATTTGGTAAATTACTTAAATGGTTGTTTTGAACATTTGACCAATAAGTCTTTTGATATATTATTTTGGTGAAAATTGAATGTAATTAAATACAAGATTGTCCCTTGTTAAAAACGTGTTAGCTATTTAAATATCCACAATTATTTTTTAGTCTGCATTCTCTAATATTCGTCGAATTCTTGATTCTTTAAGAAACTCGTTAAGTGCAAATATGATCAAGGCGATGATTTACCCTAAAAATTGGTTTTTTTTGTATAGAACAAGGAACCTATTTAGATTTATCCCAAAAAAAAAAATGTTAAATTTGCACCTACAATCCCCAAAAATTGATGCTAGGAGCACTTGGGTCCTCATTCTAATTTCTTCTCTCAATTTTAGAGCCCCTTCTCGGAATTAGCAGCCATTTGCTTCCTCTTACAAAACCTAATTCAATGTCAGACTATTTACCCCGAGAACTAATAATCGAAATTCTCACGAAATTACCTGCAAAATCGTTACTCCGTTTCACTGCAGTCTGTAAATTGTGGCACTCGATCATCACCAGTTCCGAATTCATCTTCTCACAACTTTCAATCAGCGCAAGTAAAGAAGGCAACACGCTCTACTTACGGCGATACACGAAAGATGATAGAGCAGAGCACTACACACTGCTTAAGGATGGGGAGAATCAAACCTTTGGGCTCGACGAACTATATTTTCCCTTCAAATCCCAATTCGGCTATTTCCGAATAGTAGGCGGCTCAAACGGCTTAGTATGCTTATCTGATGATTTCTTTACCAATCCTTTGCATCCCATTATTTTATGGAACCCTTGTATTCGAAAGCATATAGTGTTACCAGCTCCCACCGTTAAACCGGAAAAGGCCCACTTCTTCGTTCTTGGATGTGGAGCTACCCTTCACGATTTCAAGGTTGTGAGAATGGTGTATTCTAAAACTGATGATTTTACCTTGAACCTTCCTGCAATGGTTGAGATTTACTCACTAAAATCGGGCACATGGCGAAGGGTGCACTTTGATGATCGATACATAATCATGGAATTTATGTGGTCCCAAACTTTTATAAAAGGTAATGTGCATTGGCTCGCCTTCTATGAGGACCTCACCCAGAATAAGGGTTTCTGTAATTTCATTTTGACATTTCAAATGGAAGATGAGGTTTTTGGGGAGTTAATGTTCCCGGATCATTTGGCACAAGTGGCTATAACAGATTTATCTATTGTAGTAATAGGAGAATCACTTGGCATGGTTAAGTATGATAAGCAGATGGGCAGTGAGTCTTGCTGCGTTTGGGTGATGAAAGAGTATGGAGTTATCAAGTCTTGGACTAAGTTGTACAATATTGACATGGTAGGAGGAATTGAAAAAGTAATCCGATTTAGAAAGAACGGTGACGTATTAATGGTCTCACAAGAGCATGGGTTAGTTACCTATAATCCGGAGACTAGAAAGACTAAGGATGTTGGAATCCATGGCAGTCCACGCTCATTTTATATTGATAATTACATGGAAAGCCTTGTTTTGCTCATAGGTCAAAATGTTGTTGCAGACCAGGAGTTGCTCACAACTAGTAGTCGTGCTTCGCAGATTTCAAAAGCATTAGTGGACACAGGACTCAACTTGATATGCAGGCTAGCTTTGTAATGTAATTTATTTATTTAATTATTATTATCATCATCATCATCATCATCATCATCATCATCATCTTAATCATTGTATTTTGGTTGGATCTATTTATCTGATCTTGATTGAATGAAATCTTATATGTGCATTGTACTTGCTATAATTAACCACAGTTCACGAATATTTATCCTTGAATTCTGTCAATGTTATTTTCTTTTTTTGTTAACAGGAATTTGTTATAAGATGCTGAATAAAATTTGAAATTTTCTTCCAAATACTACATGAACATGCCAATGGGAAGTGGAAAGCACAGAAAGGGTGAAGGAGAGAAAGATAGATAGATGTGTTTTATAGGTGACCAACAGTTTTTGTTATGACTCCTAATTTTCTGAATGAATTATACTTATTTGTTTTTTTTTTGTTCAACTACATTATACATGATAGGAAAACATTTTTTAAATTCTGAATGCTTATATGAATCCTGTTTGTGTTTTTGATTTATATGACTGGGTAAGAGGAATAAATAGTGGAAAACCCCGTATACTTGATCACCGCTGATGTAAAATTATTTTCTCCACATGATGTGGGACAAGAAAACATTTTCCTTTCTTCATCCCCATACATACACAGACTATAGCTGTTTATTGCCTAGATTTCCTAATTTTGCTCTGTTTTGAGACTTTGAAATGATAAAAAATTTTAGATGAATTTTACCCTGCAACTAGTTCATAATCTGGGTGGGGTTGGAGATTAAGGACTTCTTGACTGGTAGGTAATTCATACTGTCTAGAGGGTTGGCTCTATTATTGTCGTCGTGAATTGTTTTGGAGAATCGACAAGAAGGAAATCTTTTTGTTTGTCCCTGGGATTCTACTTATGGCAATTTTTTGAGCTCAATCTCTCTGGACATAATAAATGTATTTTCTGTTGGTAGCTCATGTGGCTATCTTCTAAATCAAATGCTGAAATGTCGATGAACACTAAGATTGTCTCTTTGCTGATGGGTTTTTTAATGTGTTCTGCTACATGCTCTTTTCATAACAAAGTTGGCTTCTGACATGGCCGCTTGGTCTTGAATCATTCATGTAGTCCTGATCTGTCTAGAGGAAAAAAGGTAACTTTTAACACTCTGATGTCAAACAAAATATTCTTGACTTCTTCTTGTTGTTCGAAAAATGAGGATCTGGTGCAGCATTACTCTGTTACTAAATTTGAACATCCTAGTTTGGCTGAGCATGGAGATTAAGAGGAAAGGGTTAATGATGGAAATATTTTGATGTATATTTTCTTATTTTCTTAACCTTGAGGGGTTGCTCAATTGGTGAGACGTTGGGTTTGCTCTCCAATGGTCACCAGTTCGAATCCCCTCAGGCCACTGAGGTGAGTGCCCGCCATAAACTTCAAGTCTCGTGGCATTAGTTGAGGTGCTCATAAGCTAGTTCGGACATCCACGGTTATCAAAATTTCTTTTTTTCTTATTTTCTTACCTTTCTCTATTTTTTATTTTTTCTTAAAAGCCTGTTGTATTTTGGCTCTAATTTCCCTTGGTGCTTTTGTTTTAAGATGTTCATCATTTACTTCCTTTTGATTGATAACTTTCTATCTTACAAGAGGATCTTATGTCTTGTTATTGTTTCTTTGTTTTGATGACAGAAGGCAAAGAAAGAAGAAAAAAACATGCAGAAAGTGTGTAGAATTAGAAGAATTTTCATCGAGGGTATGAAGACTTTTAACAGGTTTACATGAATACTTGTTGCTTTGCATTGTTCTTTCTGACCGTTTTCTCTAAGTTGAATTTTCGTTGTTTTTAAGACTTGGCCTTTTCATCTTAATACTTGAGTCGAGATAGTGTCTAATAGTTTTCTATCATATCTTAGATTGCCTCTTGATTTACAAGGAGACACAATAGAATGTGAAATGATGATATTCGATAAAACAATTGATATTTTCTTTTCATTTTAATTTTACTCGGTGTTCTGTGTTTCATAATTTACTTGTTTACATCTCCATATTTGTGATTGAGCAAGCAATCCCTTCATATAAATGTGTTATGCCATGAATGAGTTCATTTAATGCTTGTTCATCAAATGAATAATTTGTTAGTGATGTACTCAAGCGAAGGTTGAAACTTTTCAATTTTGTAGGACATGAAAATGAAATTTATATTCTTTTTCAGAATACATACATTCGTTCTTTGTGGATATTTATTTATTAAACACATTACCCATATTTTGCCATTTTTATCTTTGTGGATATTTATTTATTAAACACATTACCCATATTTTGCCATTTTTATGCTATAAAAATGAATTATTATATATACTAAGAAATAAATTAATATATGTTCCAATCATTCCCTATTATCTAAAGTTTTTCCTATTCTCTCCATTNATATATATATATATATATATATATATATTTCAAAATTAGGAATATATAATTCCTTCTGCTATTTTGTTATTAATTTATTTTTCATTTTTTCCCGTTATTTTCAGCAAATTAGTAAAGGGGATTTTTGAAAGTGAGGCAAGGACGGGTGAGAAATAAAATATCTTAAATTACGTCCTGTTTAATAATTAATTAAATTTTTTTTGAAATCCATCGCGCAATACAGTGTGTTATCGAGGCGCTGGAGAAATCTCTGGTACTCATTCCCGAACCTTGATTTCACGCCCCTCAACATTCTTATGAATGCATCCAATGCACGTAAAAAAAGTGAGTTCTTACAGCTTGAAAGGAGCAGAATTCATTGATCAGGTTTTAGGCCTTCGAAAGAAGCATTCGGATATACGAGTACTTAGAATTCGTGCTTTTTCGAGTTTTTCTCAACTCAATGGTATGATTCGTCATGCTATTGAACATAATGTTCGAGAACTTGATATTGAGGTCTCTACATGAGACTATTTCGATTTTCCCCGTAGCATTATTGCGAGTGAGTCATGAAGAGTTTTCAGATTGAAATCATGGCGTCCCGGATTCAGATTGCCTCCACTGGAAATTATGAAGGCTGGTTTTCGATCGTTGTCAAATTTGTCTCTATCGCGCGTGATTTTACATGATCAACCATCCCTTGTGAATTTGTTTACAGATTCATGATTTCCTTTGCTTAAGAAATTACATTTAGAAGCCTGTTTTGGATTGAATCATCTTAGAATTATTTGTCGAGCCCTCGAGAATTTAGCCTTAAAAAGTTGTTCTCAGCTTGAAGATCTTGAATTTCATGTCCGAACCTCGAGAGAATAAGGGTTTCTAGTTGCTTTGATGCTTATAGTGTTAGCAGCTGGGTGAAAATCGACGCCCCAACTCTCTAAATTATCTTCTGGTCGATAACTAAGGAAAGATTTCACAAAATTTAACTTCACTTCACAAGGCTTTCGTAGGGTTTTTTGTCATTCATGAGGATCAAAGTGGAGCTAAGCTTCGAAGCGTATCAAACTTCATGTCGGGAATTTCTCACTGTCGGTATTTAACACTTGAAAACCCTGGTATATGAATCAAATATTTTTTGATTTACCATAGAAGGATTAATTATGTTTTTCTGATTTTTCTGTTCTTTAATCTAGCATTTGATACTTTAGGACATATCAGAGCTCATTAAACTCAAACGAGCAGTTTGATAGATCTATAGCTCAAACAAGCAACCCAATTTCAAGATTGGTATTCTCAAACGAACCACCATTTTTGCAAGTCATGTTAAGGGATTGCTGGTTAATTACTACATCAAATCCCTAACATTTTTTAAATGAGTTTAACTAGCCAATTGCGATGACTGCAGATTCTATAGAAGAATAATCGTTTTGCATAAGTTTTATTATGTCCGTTCAGTAAGCTCGAGTCCTTGGAGTTGTATTCCAACTTCAACAAACGTAGAGGTGTCAATCCAAGTGGTCCGGGCTGGACCGGCCCTCCAACATATGAGCCCAATAATGGCCCGCGTGAAAAAAAGCCCTCCCGCTACGGGTTCCGGACTGTTCCGGGTCGGCACACAAATTTTAAACTACAACCCGGTCAACCCGCTAACCCATCCGGGTCGAACCCATGTGGGTCACTGGTCACGGTTTGTTCCGATTTGGCCCCGTATTATTGTATAAATAAAATTAGAAAAATTCCGTATTATTGTATAAATAAAATAATAAATATAAATAATTTTTTATATTTATATCAAAAAAATATTATTTTTTTGCTAAATGTAATCTAATAATTGAACAAAATGATAAATTCATTTTTATACTAAGAAATGTTTACATAGAATTCAATTTTAATGTTACATGAATTATTTATAATTTTGTAAAGTTAAATTTAATTTAAATAAATAACAACTAAATGCATCTTTAATTAGTATTATCAAATATTTATAGTATAAGTACATCTCAATTAGATTGACACCTACTTTTATTATAATTTATAGTTTAAGTACATCCCAATTGCTCTCTCTCTCTCCTCCCCACCCACCCTTTTTCAAATTTTTAAAATTTTTTTTCATGGGCCAACGGGTTATCCGTAACCCGTGAAGGTGCAACCCGCGAAACCCGCGGGTCACACCTTCTTGACCCGTGAACTGCCTGCTCAGGTTACGGGTCGGCCCGCGATCCCGGGTCGATTCAGGCCAATTTTCACGCGTCTGGCCGGCCCGTCTGTCTTAACACCTCTAAACAAACGTAAGAACCTTGGCTTATCAAGTCTTTTCAGAATTTCTCCTATTATTCACACTATCATTATAAAGATTGTTGGCGATCTCAGCACTTAAAGAAAAGTGAGTATCGGCTTTTAACTAAAGAGTTTTACATTTTATGTTCACCTCAGTAGCTCTTCTATATATCAGTCATAGCAATAGAACAAAGTAAAAGCCATGCAATCCCACAAATTATGGAATCATATTCAGCTAAAGAGCCTATGTCAATCTCACCAATTATGGAATCACAACCAGTCAATCCCACTGGTTATGGAA